CATTTGTTTAGTTTTTTATCCATTGAAGAGAGTTTTAAAAAGGGCGTTATTGTGTCTTTCGTTGGCTTAAGCGAACGGTTCGGTGAGTTAATATTTGTTTTTTTTTTGTCGTTCAGGCAGGTATTTGGAGTTTGATGCCTTCTTTGTTTGTTATTTTCAGAAAACCTTACTTTCACTTTCATTGACCGAGGCCGTGCGGCCAATATATGAGCTCGAGTTTTCGGCGTTCGTTTGAGATAAATAAACACAGTACTACGGTACGAACACTCTGCATCTGTACACCCACCAGAATCTGAAGGAAGGTTAGAATGTGCTGTACCAGTTAACAGTGTCAAGTTCAAGTTTCAAGTTTTTCAGTGTAAATAAAACAAAATTGCTGATATCTGACTTATATCTTGTGAATGATATATATATGAAAAAAACTAGATATGAACTGAAGAAATACACATACACCAACATGTTTGGTCCTCGTTACAAGCGAAGGGGTTTTGACAAGAAGTAAGAATCAGCTGCCATGCTTACATTGAAAATGGTTTTATACATGCAGCTTAACTCTTCATGAATTTAGGTTGATTTAGGAATTGAGCTTAAATCACGACCTGTTTTCCAAATCGTTGGAGTGAGTCGTTTTTAGCTAGATTTGATATATCTACGGGGTTTTAATTAATAATTTACGCGTCAAGGACAAAAAATCATGTCAGTGATGACGGTTGAGAACGATCTTTGACCAATAATCTGCCAAATCAAACCTTAAACTTGTTCTGGCACGCCACCAAATGAATAATGATTATCTTCTTTTTCATTCTACTGACAGAGCGAACAAAGCGTTAAAACAAAAGCGAGGCGTTCTACTTAGAAATTGCGAGATTCCTCCGTTTCTATCCTCTTGAAGAATCAGCAAAAACGATAAGAATGGAATAAGCTCCTTCCTATTGGCTAGTCAAAACAGATGTTTGGACAAATATCACTCATTTTATCTTATATAAAAGCATTCTAAGAGCCTCCTTATATTGGTGTTGGGAATTTGAATGGAAGTAATTTAAAACCATAAGCCATCTGGTAAAAAGTTATAATATGCTAGTTGATCATTTCCTATTTCTTTGGCGGTCTTCCTTTTGACGATAAAAATTGCAATAAAATACTTCTAAAACCTTTACAATACATCTTTAAAAGAGTAGCTAAAAAAAAGCTTGTCGAGGACGTTTCGACGTCGACATAGCGCCATTATCAAGTCAAAGAGAATGAAAAGTTTAAGAGGCTTTAAATACTAAAACGAAAATACTATAGGTACTGCTTAAAACGTTTCATAACAATAAATAGACAAAAAATCTTAAAAAAAAGTTTGGCACGTATGGTTTACGTGTTCAACTTCAGATTGAGTTTCTTGATAAAAAGCACTAGAGCCTTCAAATCTTTTTGCCCTCGGAGTTTAGCTGTTATTAGGATATCTTTTATGACTTTCGTCTGCAATTTGATAATAAAATTTAATAGTTTTAAGTTGTCATTTCCCCATTTGTATGTTCTTGGTATCTGGTGAAGCCAGATGAGATTGTTTGACAAAGAATCATTTTCTTCTGTGCGCGCGTTATTTTCTTTGTTTTTTAAAAGTGTACTTTCTCCTTAGCAGAAAAACAACTCCAGAGGTACGTTTCTCAAAAGCTTCA